CACACACACACACACACACACACACACACACACACACAAACTAAGATAGTCTTAGATCTGGCAGGGATATTCACCAGGTTATTTTTGTTGGTAAAGCATTCTAATACATGATAGTTTTTGATAAGCAATTGGTTGGTCATCTTTAGAATTTTTAAGAACTTGTTGATAAAATATCAAATTTTTATTTTGAGATAGTTTCTCATGCATCCCAGGCTGGCTTTGAACTTGCTATGTAGCTGGGGTTGACCTTGAACTCCCAATTCTCCTTTCTCCATCTCCCAAGTGCTGGGATTATAGGTGTGTGTCACTAAACCCAGGCTGTGAAGTGCTGGAGAATCCAACCCATGGCATCTTGCATGCAAGACAAGCGCTCTAGTAACTGAGCCACACACAGACACAGAACTTAGTGGTCGCTTCTGAAGTGGAATACACCCTCACAAGGCACCCTTGCATCTGTGAGCACATTGTTATATTTGAGGAAGGAAGAGTTTCACAGGAAAATGAAGTTCAAGGTCAAGATGTCCTAGTCTTTAAGAAAAGCTTCAAGGCAGACGGTCTTCTGTCTATCTGAATCCTGTTAACATAGAGTAATAGACCTATGTTATGAACTTAACATGATGGTTTATTAGTAATTCTAACTTTAATTAATATGATGAATGTAGATGATAGACAAGTTGTTAGCAAGCTCCTTTTGTTCTGTCAAGATGAGGGACAGTTTATATACTAAAATTTACCTACTTCGGTATATCGTGTGTGTGTGTGTGTGTGTGTGTGTGTGTGTGTGTGTGTGTGTGTGTGTGTGTGTACCAGACTGCCTGTGAGTGTATGTGTGTTTTATTTGCTTTGTTTTGTTTTTCTGATGCTGAAGTTGATCCCAGGGTCTCCCACATTCCTGGCAAGAGTTCTAGTTTTTACACCTCAGTTCCATGCCCAGCCCTCTACGTGCATATTGCTATTTGCTATATAGAGGACTTCCCTATGTGTTTATGTCTCTCTCTGTTTAAAAGAAACTGATCATTTCCTCTTGGTCTTTGCATTGACTGTATTGTTCACCTATTAAAATGTCATATCCTGGAGTCAGCATTGTGTCATTTAAAAACAGAAACCTCTTGAGGTCAGAGTCCTGATTTAAATGTAAGATTTGCTGTTTCCTATCTGACCTTGGGCAGCTTGCTTTACCTTGGTGTTTCTTATCTGACCTTGGACAACTAACTAGCTGTGTCTTTTTTTTTTTTTCAATTGAGCTGACAATATTTTCTAGGGTTGTTATGAGTGCTTAAATGAGGCACTAATGAAGTTCCTGACAGGTAAGTGACATTTACGGCAAACCATTGCATTCTGTTGCTCTTTTATTCTACTTGCTTTTTTCATGGCTTTATGGTGTCTGATAGGTTTTTAGGTTTGACAAACCTTTGGGGTCTGTTAACAAACTCATCAGGTATTTCTTTCAGTTCCCTAACAGTCTGTCTTAAGACCTAATATTAAGCTGAAGCTTTTTCTGCATTATAAAAGCTCAGTGTGCTGCCGCCGCCAGGCAATGGTGGTGCATGCCTTTAATCCCAGCACTTGGGAGGCAGAAGCTGGCGGATCTCTGTGAGTTCCAGGCCAGCCTGGTCTACAGAGTGAGAGCCAGGACAGGCACCAGAACTACACAGAAAAACCCTGTCTCGAAAAACAAAAAATCAACAACAACAACAACAAAAAAAAAATCACCCCACCTCAGTGTGCACATCTCCTTGGTTTCTAATTCCAGTTTGTACAAGTAAGATAATATTTGCTTTGATCAGGGTTTAGCTTCTATCTTGAATAGATTAAATTCTTCTAAACATTAAAACTCGCACATAAACTTAGGTAAGTTCTTTTTTTAAAGCTGTATTTACACACTTATTTTATCTTATCTTAGTCAAGGAGTCACATGCATAGCAGGGCAGACTTGAAGGTCTAATAAAGCTTTTCTGAGCCTCGGACTTTATGCCCGATCACCTCTGTAAAGATGTTTATCTAGCTTCCCATCAGCCCTACAGAGGGAGGCTTCTCGGGAGTGAGTGGCCTTTCAAACTCCTACCTTAGCTTGTAACCTTTTGACTCTGGATCCCATGACCCTTTTTCCATTTTATTTACTGTAACCTCTGCTAGGCATTGTTGATGCCCTGTGGCCTGTCCAGGTTGAATTGCCCTTGGCTGTATACTGTATTGTTTTAGTGGTTATGTATCTCTTTTGTAGCCTTACAGTTATTAAACACGTTTGATATCCTTATTCCTGAGTGCCTGGAGTCAGGAAGGTTTCTGATGGGGGTAAGAATATTTGCTGCCCTTGAGGATGGCTCATATTGAACCACTCACCACTGCTTGTAACTCCAGCTGCAGGGGATCTGCTGCCCTCTTCTGGCCTCTACAGGCACCTACACACATGGCATACACATACACAGTAATCAAAACAAATAAAAAAATGTTTTGGATTTGGGAACTTCTTTGATTTTGGAATATTAGCATATACATGATGATATTTCTCAGGGATAGAATCCCAGCCTAACTCAAAACTTATTTACCCTTCATATATACCTTATATATGCAGCTGGGGGGGGGGGGAATTTCATACAGTATTTTAAACATGAACCAAATTTGCATGTATTGAACCATGAGAGATATGGAATCCTGTGAATGCTGAAAAAAATTTAGATTTTTCAGCATTTCAGATTAGGAACAGGCAGCCCATTTACATCACCACACAGTATTTCTTAACAGTGAGAGATCCACAGTTCTCTGAATCAGTGCCCTCTGTTGGATATTTTTCTTAGGAGTGGAAATTGAAAACATGATTAAATACTTTGTATGCTTCCTATTTCACTGGGGAGTACACCCACAAAGTGGGAATCTGGGTGAAAGCACCGTCATGATGGCAACAGCGTCCTGTGGGGTGGTGGCGCAGATCCATTGCCACTTCCATGGTTAATCCCTGTGTTGGAGCCCTTGTCAGATTACAGGAGAAGTCCTACTGGGGTTGTTAAAAGTCAGTAACAAATTGTGTATGGGTATGATAGGGTCAAGCCCTTGGTAACGTGCGGTCTCACCCTTCTTCCTAGGAAGGTGTGCATCCTTGTGTTTTCTTTTCTCCCCATCAATGTTGTTGTTGTTTCATAGTTTTCTTCACACAAATTCCAACTAGTTTCCTTTAATTAATTATTAGAATTTGAAGACAGTTTTGTCCTTTGATATGGGGAGTACATTAATCCAGTAGCTTGTGGCCAGGTAGGAAGCATATTTAGATTAGGTTCTGTCATACAGATGCATGCGTGTTTAATTTGTAAGTAGACCGTCAAATGGGATGCATGAGAAAGCTGGTTTATTTGACTCTTCACTCGTCTTGGAGTGCTGGCTAGTTTTATGTCAACTTGACACAAGCTGGAGTCATCTGAGAGGAGGGAACCTCAATTGAGAAAATGCCCCCAAAAGATCAGGCTGTAGCCAAGCCTGTAGGTCATTTTTTAAATTAGTGATTGATGTGCAGGTCCAGCCTATGGTGGGCAATGCCATCCCTTGGCTGGTGGTCCTGGGTTCTGTAAGAAAGCAGGCTGAGCAAGCCATGGGAAGCAAGCCAGTAAGCAGCACCCCTCCATGGCCTCTGCATCAGCTCCTGCCTCCAGGCTCCTGTCCTGCTTGAGTTTCTTTTGTCTTGACTCCCTTAAGTGATGAGCAGTGATGTGGAAGTGTAAGCCAAAGAAACACTTACCTCTCCAGCTTGCTTTTTGGTCATGGTATTTTATCACAGCAATAGAAACCATAATGCACAGTGGGTTACTGAGTAGAAGACTGTTCAATAGTAAAGATGAGAGACATAGGATGTAGGAACACAATATATGATCTCCTGTAACTCAACAAAGGATTCTAAACGTTAGAGTGCAAAGGGACGCACGCAGCAGTGGGAATGTTTCACACAAGACATCAGTACACATAATACACAATTAAACATGATATTGACACCCATGGAGCAAAGCAATGTTATTCCCATCCTTAGCTAGCCCTGGATACTTTATCTGCAAAATAGAAACCAGAATTTATCAAATGCCCCTTTTACTCCACTCAAGATAACTACTTTTAAAAAATGGTATATTTTTGTTTGTGTGTATATGTGAGGAAATGTGTCTCTGCATGTGCACCATATGTGTGCAGATGCCCAGACAAGGGTGTTGGATCTCCAGGAACTGGAGTTACAGGAGGTTTTGAGTCACCCATTATAGACGCTGGGAAACAAACCCAGGTCCTCTACAAGAGCAGCCGATGCTCTCAACTGCAGAGCCATATCTCTAGACTAATAACCACTTCTTAAAAGTGCGCTTCTGGCATATTTTCCTATAATCACTTCCAAAAATTATAAAAAGTACTTAAATTTCTGTAATATGTCCCACTTTGTAGTTTAAAAAAAAAAACAAACTAAAAGAATCATATCGATGTACCAAAACCAAATCTCAGTATTTTGCATTTGTTTTCACAAGGAAAGTGAGTTTGTAGAGTCGTTAGACTGTCTTGATGTTCTCCAGGTTAACACATGGTAGTAGGTACATGGAGAGCTTGGCGCTGGTTTATGCTCTGGTGTGGTAACCCACACAAGTGAACTAACGAATTGCCACCCAAAGAGGCACCGTTGTGGCTTTTGTCATTTTCTAGGCAGTGAGAGGAAGGGGTAATTATAAGAATGAATATGGCACAGTCATCATCACACCATTGAGTCTGGTGGTTGGATGACACAGATGAATGTATTTAACCTTAATGAAATCCCAAGGAAAGTATCAGTTCTGCTAATGACAATCCGTGGGCACTGCACTCACAGAGTGGCTCCTGGTTCCTCCCAAGGGCTCACACTCTGCATGATCATTATTTCAGTCAAGTTCATAGTAGTCCCCTGAGGCAGGTGCCGGAGTTCTTTCTCTTGGGGGAGAAGAGTGATTGGATTTTCTTCTCCACATTCTATGTTCTAGAACTAGATGACTACCTTACAAAGGCCGCCTGTATGTCCACTGATGAAGCTTCTTGTATGCATGAACACCGGGCGAGGATGTAGAATGTTGAATATATTAGTCAGCTAGGCTGGAGTGGGTCGACACCAGCCGTCGCTGCTTGAGGGCCTGGATATCTTCCTTGGAAGGAGGTGTCCATGGTGGAGAGAGTTGCTGTTGGAGTCATCTTGCTGAGGCTCCTCTTTGAGAGAGACACTTATGCTTCCCTCAGCATTTCCACAGGCACTGCAGAGGACACTGGTCAGGCTGGAGGAACACTGGCCCCCTCACCCTCTCTAGTGCCTCAGTAGCCGGGCTGATTGTTCAAAGGGACAAGAGAAGGTGAGCTGTTGGAAGTGGATGACCCCTCGTGGCTACTCATCCTCCAGTGATCCTTTTTTCTACCAGGTCAACTTCCCTGATGGCTTTTCTTTCTCAAGAGTGGGCTGTGTCTGCAAGTGGATGCCACTCGCCAGAGGAGAGGGATACCCAACAAATAAATCCAGCGTTGTATCTTGTGGCCAGCTCATCTTGGGGCTTTCTTTCACAATATGAATATTCCCTTGCTTTGAAGAGCTGTGTTCTTGCTCCAGCTCTTCCACTAAACTAGGTGCTGTTGGCTGAGTGTGTGTGTGTGTGTGTGTGTGTGTGTGTGTGTGTGTGTGTGTGTGTGTGTGTGTGTGTACATATACATACATGGGTGTAGGCCAAAGGTCAACATCAGATGTCTTCCTTAGCCATCCTGCACCTTATTTTTTGAGACAGGGCTGTCAGTCTGCATCTTACTAATAATTCAGCTAGACTGGCTGGCCAGCAAGCCCCAGGGATTCACCCGTCCGTCTCCAATCGCCATGCCCACTCCCAGCTGCGCACTGGAGTTCCTGACATGCTCCACCTTGCCTCGTTTTTTAAGTGGGTTCCTGGGATCCAAACTCTGGTCCTTGTGCTCACACAGCATGCATTTTTACCGGCTGAACCACCTCCCTAGTTCCTAGGCTGTGTGGTCTTAAAACAACAAGCAAACAAACAAACAACCCTTTCATCTGCCCCTGCGTTCCTCAGTGTTGAGACAGTAAGTGTACAATAAACGCCTGTAGTTGATCTCTTTCTTCGCCACCTTAGTGTCGAGGAAATACCTGGATGTATTAACTGTACCACTTAACGTTTTTCCTCCTTTTACATGCATTCAGGGCCTAGCTGTCACTACACCGAATCTATATTTACCCTGAGAAGAAGGCCCTTAAAATTGGAAGAAGTATGCTAAAGTTGTGCAGTGTACTCAGGGTGGAGACTAATTACAAGGTCTCAGAACCCCTCAGGTGGCTGGGCTGGTGGCCTGACTGAATTGCGGCTTTCCTAAATTGGGAACAGCTGGCCCTTAGTGCGACCAAGTATAAGAGTGGCCACTGCTGCTGGCTTCTCTCAGTGTGGTGAGAAGTCTCTGTTCCCTGGATGGAGCCTGTGGCCCCTGAGCCAAAGGTGCCTTTCCTCAGCCACGGTAGGTGAGAGCCCCAAGTAGGGCCGCTTGAATGCTGTGTCTGTTGCTTGGTAGAAATTGTGATTGTAGCAAAATACTGTTATCAGATTTTGTGGCGATTTTTAGGGAGTTTCCCCTGAGGCACCTGCTGCCCCCTTTCCAAATGAGACACAGCAAAGGCTTTATTTAGAGAGCTGTCCAGTTTGTTAAAGGTTGTTGACTTTGTATGTAGTGTGTGCCTTGGTTTCACTTTAACTCGTGCTAACCTGGAACTTACTGTGCCGCCCAGGGTGACTTCAAAGTCACAGTCATCCCCCAGCTTCAGCTTCTTGGATGCTGTCATTATACGTGTGAGTCGCCATGCCCTGCAGTTTGATCTGTTTTTCTTAGAAAGGATCCGTTCTATCTCTATCTATCCCCTTCCATATCAGGAAGGAGTGGTGTGGTCTTTGGGCAGGTTCTAGCATATTATGACTTCATGGTTAGCAACTTGTGAAGTGTTTGAAATGTTGGGTCCTGGCTTTATTGGAAGAAAATAACAGGGAATTGATTGTTAAAATATTCTTATCTATGCTGACCTCAGCCCAAGGAGAGCCCAGAGTCCCAAGACTAAACAATCCAGCACTGGATAAATACATCCAGTCTCAGTGGCACTGACTTTGTCTTGATGATAGCTCTGTAGATCAGGTGCTTTGGTATTGGTTTCCATATGTTTGAGAATGTTTACATTTCGAATGGTTGGTAATTAGAAGAGCCATCTCTGACCTCCTCTTCTTTTGTTCTTAGGAGGGACAACAACATCTTCTGTGGGAACGAGAATCGGCTTCCTTGTGTGAACACCCAGCAGATGGTTGCATGAGAGTACTAAGAACCAGAAAGCCACCGTCTACATTTCACATCAGCGCATACCATCAATTCTAAGAGTCCATGTGGATCTTGGAAGTAGAAGGATTTCAAAGAGTTGAGTTTCCCCAGAGAACAAGAACCTTACCATCTCCTCCTTTAGCTCTGAAGGCTGGCGGACAATGGATATCATAGAGACAGCAAAACTTGAAGGTCATTTGGAAAATCAAACCAGTAACTCTGCCAACACTTACACAAGCCCCGGTGAAGCCGTAGACGACGGCAACAAAAATGGCAGTGGTAAACCCAAGAGCTTATCCAACGGGCTGCGAAAGGGCGCCAAAAAGTACCCGGACTACATCCAGATCTCCATGCCCACCGACTCCAGGAACAAGTTTCCCCTCGAGTGGTGGAAAACGGGCATTGCCTTCGTGTATGCCCTCTTCAACCTCGTCCTGACAACGGTCATGATCACCGTCGTACACGAGAGGGTCCCTCCCAAGGAGCTCAGCCCTCCCCTCCCAGACAAGTTCTTTGATTATGTCGACCGGGTCAAGTGGGCCTTTTCTGTATCAGAAATAAATGGGATCGTATTAGTTGGGTTATGGATCACCCAGTGGCTTTTTCTGAGATACAAGTAAGTATGGACTGCTAATGTATTTGGGTTTGGGTTCAGTTTGTTTTGAAAAAGAGATGGTGTGTCACATTGAAATTATCTTTCTCGGGTTCTTCTGATGCATTTAGTTTTACCTGGACATTTGTGGAGAGAAGTTGTAGATGGACATACTTGAATAAATCCAGCCACTGTTCCACAAGGGTTCATTGAGTGATCACAAGTGAAAGTAGGAAGTTGCGGTAGTCTTGTGTGTGGAGGGTGACTTAGTTTATCAACAGTGCAGTGCCTGGTTTCCATTGGTGTGGTGCTTGGAAATGCCTTTAATCCCAGCACCCGGGAGGCAAAGGCAGAAGGATAGGTATGAGTTCGAGGCCAGCCTGGTCTACATAGAGAGCTCAGGACAGCCAGGATTACATAGGAAGACCCTGTCTCAAAAAAAGAAAAAAGATGCTAGGGAAGGACTAATGGGTATTTAGGCTCTCTGCAGATGCAGTCGGGAGGAGCCAGGGCACTTTAATTTCTTTGGGGATGATGGGTCTGCCGTCAACAGCTTGCCTTGAGTTTACATCTGTTCAGAAGTTCTTAAGCGTTCTTTCCTTTCTTGTCCTTTTCCTGCCAGGCACAAAGTAACCAGTGTTTGTTTAAGAAGCTGGATTTGGAACCGGGTCTTGGTGGTTTGGGTTTTAGATTTCCAAAGTAAACTTGTCCTCCTTGCCTTTCCCTTGGCATTGCAAAGGAGGACATGGCTCAGTAGTTCAGGCCCTGCGTTCCTCACTCCATCTCAGAACTGTAGCAACCCGGAAGCAGTGAGCTAGTCTTCTCCCCTTGAAGATATGTGAAAAACTGGACATAGCTCTGACATGGTTATTTCTGCTTCTCTGTGTGAATTCTGACTTCTGGTCCACAAAATGGGAGGCCACTCAATTCTGCAGTCCTCTAATTTGCCATTGGGATGTTTGCTTTCTACTGGATCCCGTGAATTAAGTCCCTAAAATACAAGTTTGAGCAAAATACCCACAATCTAGGGTTTAAAAAAAAAAATGTGAAGTAGGTTGAATTCTTGTAATTACAAAGCAGTAGTCAACTTGAGTCTCTGTTCTAAAAGGGATCTTGTGGCACTACCACTGACCTCTTATTTAACATTGAACCAGGGAAAGCCAGCTCGCCCAGTTGACTGTTCCTTTTCAGTACTGAGATAACAAAGCTAGGTTACCGAGTCTGCGGTAACTCAGCACTTCCATCAACTATCTTGGAACTACTTGTTTAATCTCCCCTCACCTGGAACCCTAGAATGTTCTTGAAATAGCTATCGGTGGCAGGCACCTAAAATAGATATTTATACATATTTTATTTATTTAACTAGAAGTCCCAACAGTTGCCTGAATTTGACCTTGGTCCATGTGAGGACCAGTGTCTTAGAGAAAACCTAAAATATGCCTCATCTCTGAGGCTGCCTGTTACTCTAGAGTCTTTTGGTCAGTGGTGGTTTGGAAAGTTTGAGAGCTGTTAGGGTGAGAAACCCAGTGGGATGAATCCACTGTATGTTCTAGAGAATTTAAAACCTGGAGGCAGGCAATGCATCTCCACTCATTCCCAAGTTCAGAGCCAGTGCTTCCAGACATAACAGAAAGGGGCCTGTCACCATGAGCTGGAACTGAGAGCACACGGGCCCTTTCTACCCATGCTGGTGCCCACAAGGTAGTCATGCCATGGGCAAAGCCCTGGGGTTTGGCGGTCAGTGATCTCAGTCAGCTAGACTGAAGACTCAAAAGAGCTCATAGCTGCAGTCAAGACACCATCCGCATAAAAGCTGAACAGGGAAAAAACTTTTTGCCTTTATTTCTTGACCCATCTCTCTCTCTTTTCATTTTAATTTTATTAAATTTTATTTTAATCTTTGAGATAGAGACTGTCCTTAAATTCATTATGTAGCTAGTGTTGACCTTAAACTATTGATCCCTCTGCTGCTGGTTCCCAAATGCAAGGTATTGGTTTATGCACTATTATAAATCGAATCAAGGACTTTGTGCACATGGCAAATATTCTAACATCTAAACCACATCCCCCCAGGCCTTTTAATTTTTAACTAGTACATAAAAACGTGAAAAATTGGATTTCATAATGAGATATTATGTATAAATTCATATGAGTGTGTACTATGTGATATTCAAGTTAGGCATGCCTCTCTTTGAACACTTCTTTTAAAGACATTTTTAAATTTATTTATTTTATGTATGTGGGTGTTTTGATGCATGTATTCTCCGCACCATGTGCAAGCCCACAAAGGCCATCAGATCCTTTGGAACTGGAGTTACACATGATTGTGAGCTGCAGCGTGGGTGCTGAGAATCGAACCTGTGTTCCCAGTAAGAGCAGCCAATACCGTTAGCCACTGAGCCGCCTCTCCAGCCTACTTTTCACTTCTTTATGGGAAAATATCTCAAGTCCTTCCAACTTATTTTTGAACTGCAGGGCACATTGTTGATAGTAGCCATCTTGCTATATGGAGCATCTCAGCGCGTCTTGTTCCTAACTGTAACCTAGTACACATGACCAACCTTTCCACGTGACCCCTCCCGAATACACAGAGTCGCCCCATTCTCTGGTAAACTCTAGCCTGTGCTCAACTTCTCTGAGACCAACTTCTTTCAATTTGGCATAGGGGTGAAATTATTCTGTGTTTATTTTTTCTATGCCTGGCTCACTTAATGTGATGATCTCTAGTTCCATCCAAGCTGTCACATGACAG